TAAAATTATGAAAAACTAACATGAAAAATTAACATTCAGTCAAAATTGCATGTACGGTCATTTGTTTTAGAGTTAAATCAAAAAATAAAAATAATTTTTCTTTTGTTTTTCACTTTACTTTTGAAAACTACCAACTAGATTCACTACTTTCCTATTAGAAAAAAATCTAAGCATTTTTACTGTCCTAAAAGGTGATAACAKATACAAAAAAAATTTAAAAAACACACACATCATYGTCAAAACTATACATTCATCGCTCCGCTCAGAATCTAAAATAGTTATTAGGTATATAGGCATCCACATGACGTATAAAAAATATATTATATATTTTAAAGGCCGTTAGTATATTAAGGGCCTCTACAATTATGATTTTCCCGGGCTGTGTTTTTCTCCCAGTCCGCCACTGGTTGGAACAATTAAAATTTAATAAATGGAAAAAATAAAATGTGTTACAACTTAATTGATTCCATATTGATTTACTTCTACTAATTTAACAGTACAAATCATGTTGGAAATTAAACAAAATATTTTTCATTTAATAAATTATATAAAATATATAGTTAGCAGGGAGTTATTTGCGAAAATCTCGATTTTATAATGAGTAATTAATTATAATATATGTCATCTATTCAAGAGTTACAGCTACCACAAGGCTTTGGAAAAATGACTTTTGCAATTAAAAAACTATCTTATTTTTTTTTTAATCTTACATATCACAAATTAACAATCAAATTATATGTGAACTATGAGTAAAACTATTCAACATAAGTTTATTTAAAATTTAGTATTGCATAAAATACACAAAGATACACTTGACTGTATCTATGTCTGGGGGAAAGGCTTTGAAATGAATGAACTGATATAYGACGTGTTTAAAAGTTATTATGTAAAGAGRTAAATAAGATAGGGTACTAGGCTTGTTGACCCTCGCCCAGAAGGCAATTCCTCTGCCACTCCGGTTTAGTTGACGCCTACCACTTACATCTCTCGTATTTTTGATGTTATGATCAATAATCAATAATTTATTTAAAAATGTAGGAATAATTATACATTATACATTTATGATTATACAGAATGATTCAGGCAATCAAAATAAAAATATATTAAAAAACTGTCACAGGTCTGAGTCTTRTGGATGATATTTTTGTTTTGCAAAAAAATTATTGCCGATGAAACATCATGCACRTCACTATAAATTTGTGGGAAATTCATTTTTTATTTTTTATTATTYAGATGTCGACGACTGAATAACTGAGGTAAGTGCTCCATAATGTTAGGGCACCCGCTATTATACCTATATTTAACATTAATTTTGCAACACAGATTTTACATAACATTATTCCTAAAATATCTAATTAGAGAATTTCACACGAATACTATATATGATCTCGTACCTTTTTTATCTGCACTCTGCAATCTATCAGTATATACTATATTATACATTAATACATTAATACATTTTATAACATTAAAAATAYGAGAGATGTAAGTGGCGGGCGTCAACTAAACCTGAGTGGCGGGGAATTGCCTTCTGGGCGGGRGTGAACTAAACCAGTACCTAAGATAGTTATTATGATTGGGTATAATTTTACATATAAATTATAAATATTCAATCATTCATCAACTATCTAGAGCCAAAAGTATTCAAATCTTTAAACTTAAATGTAAAAAAATGTTTAAGAACTAATACTAAAATTAATGTAAATAGATATATAAGTCAACCATTATTATATGATCTTTAAAATATTTGTAAACTTCATATAGTATATATGTTCTATGTATTCATCATTTCAAAAATACAGTTCTTATATTTTATTTTTTTCTCTGTTCTGTTTACTCTCATTATATATTTAGTCGAATAACATTACTTATCGGTATAATAATAAAATTCACCAAAATAACTCTCTATCCAACTGAAGTTTTACTTATAAGAGATAGATAAACCATATAAATTGTAAAATGTTTGATTATAAATTGTGCTCAAATAATTGTATTAAGAAGCTGTGCAGCTTACATTTAACAGTTTAAAAAGGGGTGTACTCACAGGTATTTAATTTGTAATAGCAACGCTGTATAGGATCAACTAGTACAGAATATCTACTGCTCTATAATACCTACTTATGTTTCTATTTAATATTATATTTTATATTTACCAGAGTGTTGATGATGACACATCAATAATTGAAATGTTGATTGACAGTCTAAAAAAAACATTGATCAATAATTAAATTAGGGTCTTGCATTATACTACCACATTATAGAATTGTAATTTATTAGATTTGATTAAATTACAGCAAGACGATATCAAAAAACTAGGTAGAATGATACTCTTTATAAAGGTGACAATTAAAACTTACCAGGTGAATCTCAGGCTTCGTAGTCAAAGGGAACAGTTTAACATAAAAACCTTGACACTAATGTTGTAGCTGCGATATATTCTATTCTACGAATCCCGTTCAAAATACACAACAATGTGCAGTATCATTCGCAGGCGAAAAAGAAAATTTGGCGATTAATGATCCTAATAAAACATGGCCAAAAAATATTTCACAAGACTCGCAACTTCTGCGTATAAGACAAAAAATTATGGCCGATCAAAATATTAATATATCGTACAATTTAGATAGCCATGTAACTAGGTAATAATAATAACAATCAGTATAATACTATTAGCAGGCAGGCTGCAGTTGCAGTGTAGTTGTAGTGTGTAATTAATTAATGTGTACTTTGTGAACAGTCCTTATCAATATCACACATATTCAATTGACAATATTATATTATTCTGTGTTTGAGTGTTTTTGCGAGAATCACGGTTGCACAGTATAACAAATCGATATCATTATAGTGTTTTGCTTAGATAATACGATATATATATATTTACTAGCATTATGTTATCAATTTTCGTTTGTTTGGCACTTCGATTATAAGGCTAAGCTTGGCATGATGTGATTATCAGGCAACGCCGCTACCGCGTTCTTAGACGTTCTGGACGTTCTGGTTCCTGGCTCGATAACGTTGAAAAATTTGAAATGATTTTCAATTTTGAAAATAAATGAAAATTAGAATTACGTTTTCTAAACACTATAAAAGTCTTATTATTCCAGCGCATTTCCAGCTTCAAGTATTATTTACTCAACTCTTGAAAAATGTCCATTGAAATTGAATCCGCCGAGTTCGTAGTATCCATAACTATATTTTTCAATATATTTAACAAAATATTCTCATTATCTAACTAACTTAACTTTGCTTACAGTGTCATCAGACTTATACAGCAATATCTGAAGGAATCAAATCTTATGAAATCTCTGCAAACCCTTCAAGTAATTATTTCATTAAAAAAAACATCTATTTTTGTCATAAAAAAAATTGAATATACCAACAGTTTAATTTGTTTGGATTGGGTTTTTTAACATTAATTAATTTTAAATAATTTTTTCATACTATTGTCTAGGAAGAAACCAGTGTATCATTGAACACTGTAGATAGTATCGATGGTTTCGTTGCAGATATACACAATGGTCATTGGGATACAGTTTTAAAAGCAGTACAGTCTTTGAAATTACCTGATAGTAAATTAATCGATCTGTACGAACAAGTTAGTGTCCTACTATTTATATTAAAAAAATAATAGTCAGTTGAAATATTATCATACTTTATTAATTGGCAGGTTGTATTTGAACTAATAGAGTTACGTGAACTTGGAGCTGCTCGATCACTTTTACGTCAAACAGATCCTATGATTGCTTTAAAACAACATGAACCTGATCGTTATATACACCTTGGTATAACTATATTATTTATTATAAATATTAAACTGCAGTCACAGTTATTCAAAATGCTTGATAATTTTAGTATAGTTAGTTTTATTTATTTACCTATTTATTATTTATTTATTTTTTGTATTCTAGAAAATCTTTTAGCTCGATCTTATTTTGATCCTCGTGAAGCATATCCTGAAGGTACATCTAAAGAAAAACGTAGAATTGCTATTGCCCAATCATTAGCTGGTGAAGTATCTGTAGTACCATCATCAAGACTATTAGCACTATTAGGCCAAGCATTAAAGTGGCAACAACATCAAGGTCTTTTACCTCCAGGTATTTTAAGATTAATCATTCAAGTATTGAATAAACTGTATCTTAGTATATAAAATGGTAAGGATGCAAAGTGCCAACATTACTTGAGGGAGAGTCAGTATTGTTGTTCTGGCGGTGCTCAACGCCGGTCCGTTTCCTWAAGTATTTAATTCACTAATTTTTGCTTTTAGGTACTTCTATTGATTTATTTAGAGGTAAAGCTGCAGTTCGAGATCTAGAGGAAGAAACATTCCCAACTCAATTATTTAAGCAAATTAAATTTATTCAAAAGAGTCATGTAGAATGCTCTAGATTTTCACCAGATGGCCAGTTCTTGGTGACTGCCACTGTAGATGGATTTATTGAAGTATACAATTTTGTAACAGGAAAAATAAGAAAAGATCTTAAATATCAAGCTCAAGTAATTATTAATTTTTTAAATCAATTGGTACCAATAGTATATTCTTGTAATCCAATTTTTTTTTCAGGATAATTTTATGCTAATGGAAGATGCTGTACTAAGCTTAAATTTTTCTCGCGACAGTGAAATGTTGGTGTCTGGCTCTCAAGGTGGAAAAGTCACTGTTTGGAAAATAATGACAGGACAAGTGATGCGGAAATTTGAAAAAGCTCATGTACTTGGAATTACTTGTGTACAATTTTCTCGAGATAATACTCAAATTTTGACTGGTTCATTTGATATGACTATAAGGCAAGAATACTGATATTAATAGAAAAATGTATTTTTGTAAAATTTATATAAACATTTTTTTATTAAAACAGAATTCATGGCTTAAAATCTGGCAAAACTCTTAAAGAATTTCGTGGACATACATCATTTGTTAATGAGGTTGTTTATACTGTTGATGGTCATAGTGTAATCAGGTGAATATTATTAGATTAGCATTAATAATTATTAAGAGGACGCCATACCGGCATGTGTTGTCTCTGTTGTACAAGTGTGTTGCAYAGCAAATTTTACGCTCATCAGATCTTTATTAGTTTAAAATTCAACAATTATAAAAATTAAAAGCAACATTATTATCTAGKGCAGCAGTTTCCAACCTGTGCACCGCGGTTCCCCAAGGGCACCGTGAGCTCATTTAAGGGATGC